GGTTTTTCCGGTAGAAACTTGCGGTGACAATCAAAGTAACTTGCCTTTTTACTCAAAGTTAGCCAATTGACACCTGATTTCTCCATGCATATCGGACATCCCATAAGACCGTGTGTGCTCCACCCCGAAAACATGTCATAGGCAGGGAAGTCGTTAATGGTCCAAATGATGGCCGCTTTCATGATAAAATTTTGATCTCTTGAAACATCATAAATTGGTGTCCCAATGGCCCAAAGTTCTTTCATCTCCTCGATAAGGGGTTGGAGATAAATGTCTATCTTTTTTCCTGGATCCTTGGGACCCGGACAAATTAAAGTCAAAAAGATAAAGTGACTTTTCATGCACATGTCGGGAGGGAGATTGTAAGGAGTTAACATGACCGGCCAACATGAATAGGTCTTCCCAAACCTTCCAAAAGGAGCAAATCCGTCCGAACACAATCCCAGTCGCATATTTCGTGGCTCCATTGCAAACTGAGGATGACAACGGTCAAAGTGTCTCCAAGCTTCACAGTCCGAAGGGTGAGACATCATACCCTCTTTGGTTTCGTGCTCGACATGCCATGTCATGTGTTTCGCAGTAGCAGTCGAAGCGTACATCCTCTGCAGTCGTGGAGCTATTGAGAGGTAATACAGTTTAGATAATGATGACCTATTTCGCAGTTTCTTTTTTACTTTGAGTATCAGGTCTGTATCTGTCTCGACCACAAAACTTGCAGAATTTAAGTGCCTCATCATCCTTCCAGAACAACATACATCATTCTTGGCACACATCAATTTCTATACAAGGTAGCCCCAACTTAGACATTAATTGCTTCATGTGGTAATATGAATCGGGAAGGTTATGATCACGCGGTAGCATCCCTCCTACTGACTGCAAGACTCTAGTCATGCAAGTTTCAGGTAGACTGTATTCAGCTTTTATGTTCATAAACTCCGTAACGGCGGATAAGTGAGAGTATCCCTCACAATCAGCATACAGAGGTTGATCGGTAGCTTTTAAAACATCTTGAAATCTCTCAGGCTCTCAGCTAAACCTTCATCCACATAAGGTTGATAAAATATCGGATTTTCATCCGCATCTGGTTGATACGAGGTCGAGGCTTCAGGAGGATTGTTAGATGGTTGGGGGGGTTGAACTGAGACATCGATGCACCGTATGCGTCATATACCATACGTTGCTCTCATCTCATTTCAGCAGGGTCTCCCCACGCACTTATCTCTGCAAGGACGTTACGAGACGAATCTACCGTTTGCGGTAAAACAGGTGGATCCAAAGGTTCATCATGAGAAGTCCAATTATAATTAGGGGTGGGCAAAAATACCGAAAAATCGGTATACCGCACTTACCGTTCCGAAAAATACCGGAAAATACCGAAATATTGGTATACCGTCATTTTCGGTACGGTATCATACCGTACCGGTCTATTTCGGTACGGTAACGGTAAATGTTTTCAAATACCGCGGTATACCGATATAATAACGTACCGACTCCCTACTCAACAATTACTTTTAATTCTAATATATTGTAAAAAATTATTACAATTTTGAAGCCCAAAATTAATATTTAAGTTGGTTACAAATACAAAAATACAAAAATAAAGGTCCAATTTCTCAAACCCACTATAACCTTATAGGCTTCTACTACGCTAACTTTAATGACTAATGAGTAATGTACAAATGTCAAGAAACAAGTCCATCTTGTTTCAAGAGCTTCCAAGTCATAATGGTTGGGTCGCTAAGTAACTGACGAGTGACGAAAGATACACTTATGTGACAAGTGTAGGGATTCCGCGAGTCGAGACACACAACTTTGTTCGAAAGTCTTATTCAATTTTTAAAAAATTATAAAAATGATTAAATACACAATATCATATTAGAGATCACTATTGATTTAATTATATCTATATTGTTCAAGTTATTTTAGGAGAATGTGTTACTTTTTAATATGTGGCATGTTGAACTGCTTAAATATACCAATAATTATTATCGATCAATATTGAATTGACATCAATAGATTATTAATTGTATTTCGTAACATGCTAATAATAGATTTAATATGTTGCTAGTAATAACGATTTAGTATATTTTGTTAGTCTATAATAATTTTTTGTATTGAGAGACATGCACGGTAATTTACCGATACCGTACCGTTACCGAACCGAAACTTCGGTATACCGAAATGCGGTATACCGAAACTTCGGTAAGGTAAGGGTATGCAAATTTTGCATACCGAAAGTTTTGGTACGGCAAAGATATGAGAAAAAATATAAGGTATACCGTACCGAACCACCTCTAATTATAATACTTCCTCCATTCTTAAATAAGTGCAACATGTGAAATTTTACACTATTCACATGTTGTACTTTGACTACATTTTATTTATTGATGTATTAATATATATTTTTGAAAAATATATTATTAAATTTGCCTCATAGTAAATTTTCAAAAACTGATTTTTTTTAAATTTTTTACTGATAGAGAATTATATATATTAATGATCAAAGTTGTGTCTCGACAAGTGTGAAATGTTGACTGTTGCACTTATTTAAGAACGGAGGAAGTAATTGGGAACGAAATCGTCCGCGTACAAATCCCACCCAACTTCATCTGGGTGTTTAAATTTGAGATTTTTACATTTTGAATATCGACATCTGATTTTATCACCACTCATATAAGCCGGGTGTTCAAGTGCGAATGCAATAAACTCCCAACTCTTTCAAGAAAATTTGATTGCATTCCGTACAATACCGCATGTTCATCATACATCCAAATTCTATTTTGTCTATACATTATGCCTGAATATTATAATAAAAAAAATTATACAGGTTAAAAACTCTGAATTATAAACATTACCAACATATGTGGAGTATTATTAATATATTAAATTTCACTAATTAAAGTTCAATGCAATTGAATATTATTAATTACAATAATGTTAATTAATGTTATTAATTAACTAGAACTAATATGTTAATATAATGTAATTAATCATTTCAATTATTAACTAATAACCAATATTATGATTTCAACACTAAATACACTAAATCATTACGTTAATGGCATTAATTAATTCATAAACATTAACAATAATTTTTTATGTGTAGGAACATTTATATATTAAATTTCACTAAAATTCGCTAAAATTAACTAACGTCCAATTAATATTATAAACTAGAAACAATACGTTAATGGCATTTAATCCACAATACTAAAATTATCAACATCTTAATCTTATTAATAATACACATTTAACAATTCATTAAATTAAATAATATGAGCAAATCCAATAATTTGAGCATATATATATATATATATATATATATATATATATATATATATATATATATATATAAACTCATTTGAATTAAATAATACTTAAATTTAACTAATATTATAAATTTTTTTAAACTAATTTACGTAATTTTAACTAAATACAAATTAATTAACATTATGCTTAAATTACACATACGTTTAACTAATTTGAACTAATTTATTTCGTTAATTAATTAACAACCTTTTTCTAATTTTTGAATTAACTAATATTTAAATTTAACTAATGTTATTAAAAATTTAACTAATTTAGCTAATTAATTTAACTTAATGCGTGACTACAATTAAACCTACGTTTAACTAACTAATTTTCACTAAATTAAATGAAGTTCACATAATTCACAATAATAATTCATCACACTTAAGTAATGTTTCAATTAACCCTAATTTAAATCATTATAAATCTTAAATTAGGCATTAACAATAATTGCTAATAAACAAATCCTAGAACTATATTTAAGCATATATAAACTCATTTGAATTAAATAATACTTACATTTAACTAATATCATCTATAATTTAACTAATTTACATAATTTTAATTAAATACAACTTAATTAACCCTATGTTTAAATTACACCTACGTTTAACTAATTTTAACTAATTTATTTCGTTAATTAATTAACAACCTTTTTTTTTAAATGCATTTAATTTAAATTTAACTAATATTAACAAAAATTTAACTAATTTAGCTAATTAATTTAACTTAATGCGTCACTACGATTAAACATACATTTAACTAACTAATTTTTCACTAAATTAAATGAAATTTACATAATTCGTTAATTAATAATATCTCTAATTTAACAGTTTATTACACTTAAAATGAACCAACTAATTCATACAAGAAAAAACGTAATTCAAATTACATACCTTATCTGCTTAAACAGGGAAAATGATATAAGATGGCTAGATTACATCCTTCAATTCAATCTTTCAAACAGTTTGTGTGGTTCTGTTGGATGAATCTGTTGCTGCATATATAAAATAACTAGTCACGGATGTGTCCGTGACTACGTTAATTCGTACAAATTACCAGTACAAAGCATTGGAAAATTTTGGATGTAGTCACGGAATTATCTGCCGGAAACACAATGAATATTTAGGTTAAAGTGTAGTCACGGAATTAGTCACGGATTCGTTCGTGACTAATTTCAAATTTAAAAAAAAAACCCGCCGGAGGCAGAATTGGGTTGGCCAGAATAGGTTTGTCACGGATACAATCCGTGACTACTTGTAGTCACGGTCATATCCGTGACTACTTTTTTTTTTAATCCGTGACTAGCCCGTGACTAGGTCCGTGACTAACTAGTCACGGATCAAATCCGTGACTAGTCACGGAGAGGGAAAATAAAATACATCAATCACCAGGAAAAATTGTGAAGCAAAAATCCAAAGACATAACTGATGGTGGAGGTTTCGATTATTTTTACTTCAAGAGAAGATTACCGCCGATTGATGGTGCTCTGCTGCCTCTGTTGCGTATGACGATGAGAAACTCATCCAAAGGGCGAAAGGTTACCAGAGTTAAAATAGAGAAGGTTTGATCATTCACGTGTCTGAATTGGAAGGAGTATAGTTTTGCAACTGAACGAAATTTGAGATTTGTCTGAGCTAATAAGTTTATCTTTTTTGGTAAGTTGTAAGTAAACACACATTTATAACTGAATCCTTAAGTCATCAATTAAGTCCATTAAGTCTCAGGTAAACAGCCCCTAAATGACATTTAGCTATGACCAATAAGAGCAGTTTGTTTTCTGCTGGAAATCATGTACTTGATCAAGAATGGTCACCGAAGACATATGCCTTATGATAAGCAAAGGGAGTAAGCCTGTGAACTGCCAAAGAAGTTTGTCTTTTCTTCTTCCTTAACATCCACAGATGAACTCAATCTATATAACATCATATGTACTTCGAAAACTACTAACATACTAATATTTATGCAAGGGATAAATCAGACCAAATGCGTGATGTGCATTGGACATGCAGTTTGAACTAGAGAGGTATTCTTTGATTTGCAAATCAGTTGTTGTACACTGTTTAGCACTCCCAATTTGTTAGCTGAACCAACACATATTCTAGCTTTTCTGAATCGTATGCTCCATCTGCTTGATCCTGCCAAAAGCGAAGCAATATCAATGCAGAGAAGCTATGGAGTTCAACCAACAACCTGTAAACTAGATTTCATTCAGTCCCAAAAGAGTTTGGGGTCGGCTAACATGAATCAACACATCACACTAGGGTATGGTGGGCTGAAGCCCATGGTAGCCCAATTTCCTTTCTTTATAGTTTTTTATTGTAATTTGTTTTCATTTAGCCCATCCCAATAATTCTTTCAGCCTAGTCCAATCACTATTTTTTCTAGCCTAACACAAAACCATAGACCTGCCTCTAATCATAGTCTTTTGAAAGTTTTTTCTTCATTTAAAATCTATTTAAGAATCATTTTTCTTAATGTGGACCTTAACCTCGACTCTGAAGACGCTTAAGACCAATCCATTAAATGTGGTAACATTAGCTTCAAGTACTTGAAGTCCTAGAGAATCCATAATTTCCATCATCCTTGAGAATTGACCCCTGCAATGTTTTCCCATGAATCTAAGCATGAAAACACTTGTGCTAATCTGGTTTACCTCCACATGGACCTTCAAGAAAAGCCGCAAAACTTGGTCAGACTTTTATTTATATGAATACATAATATTTAAATGTCAGGAATCATGCATAAGTATTTTTATTTGCCATGAAAGTGTTATTCCCATGGAAAATAAAAAAGAGAGTTTGCCTCCCTCCTCCGCACAACCAAACAATATTACTACTTGAAAACTGAGCCTACTTCCCCCTAAAACTGGGAAACAAAATATTTAAATTTTGGGCTCTCTTTAAACTATTGATTTGCAGTCACTTTCGGTCCTTCACATAACTTGTCCGAAAGTCAATATGTGGTTGTACAATTTTTGGACATAAGTGATCGAAAGCACCAAAGGTGGGCATAAATAAATTTATAGTTGTAGCCTAGTAGAATCAAAAGTAGAACATTTTCAGTTGGGAAGATCAACTCAGAGGGAGTAAGGGGTGGGATGAAAGATCCTTAGATTCTAAGGAAAGTAAGTTTATATTCCTGGGAAACCAAACAATCAAACACCACATGTGAATAATACAAGTTTCATAGTACCTTGTTATTGATGTTGCATGGACTCCGTCTTTTCTCAGGGGTCATAGGTTTGTCTCTTTCCTGAATGACATCTTCTGCATCAATTTGATTGAGCTCATTCTCAAGTTCATTCAAGCTCTCCTGAAGTTCCATTATGTAATTAATAGCATCTCCAACTATTGAAGCCATGTCCATCTGTAAGAAATTCTCACGAGTCAAAGAGAAACATTTGAATGAACTCCAATATCATCTTTTGAACAATACGTAAGGGCCTGTTTGTAACTCATAAAATGCTAGGAAAAGAAACGAGAGGAAAATATAGGAACATTTTGAAGAAAAGAGTATGTAGGGGAAATCAAACATTGGTTCAAACTCAATAACTAAGTTTCTATTTCTCATTTTCCTTTTGCATTTCTGAGGTCAGGCTAAACAAAAGAAAATAACTACCATTAGCATTGTTTTTAATTAACCTAAATGTTTCTGAGTACAAGAATAACATAGTGATAAGTGATAACCTTACCTTGGTGATCTTAGGAACTATAGCCCTTAGAGCATAGAGCCCATCTTTGATTTTGTTTCTTCTTTTTCTCTCTGTCACAAGATTCTTCGCACAGTGTTGTCCTCTTTGCCTTTTTTTAGCAATGTCATTGTTAATGCAACTCGGTGAAGAACCATTGCTTTTCATTGTGGCAGGAAATCGATTGAAGTGCAAATTGAGCTTCTTCTCGAACAGGTCCACCGACTGGTCAAATGGTGAATCACATTGAGTGAGTTCAGTAGTTGCAGGAGTAGAGCCAGTAGATGATCCTTGTAAGCATGGGCCACTATAGGGTTCAGGTGTTTGAGAAAGATAGTGTGAACCAAGATGAAGAGGAGCCAAACAGCTACTTGGACACTGATTAGGAATTTCATGGAGATCTTTATGTTCTTTTCTTGTATTGTAAAGGTGCTTTGACTGCTTTCCATTCACGCCGCCTTGTACATAGATCTTGAACCTATTGCGAACAAACTCTATTGTCTTCTGATCCTTTGGAATCTATAGGAACAGAAAAGGAAATGACAGAGGTAGAGAACAGATGATCTTGGTTTGAGATGTTACAATTTCTTGAGTACATAGTTTTAGGGATAGTCAAAGAATGAGAGTATTACCAGCCTTGAATTGTAGAGCTCAACTAGACCACCGACGACGGGGATCAAAACCCGAGTGCCAGTAATAAAGTCCTGGGAGTAATGAAAACATTTCATGAGGATCTTCATCTACGCATTCTTAGGCCCCATTTGATTGCAAATAAGCAAAATAAGTAGCCTCTGTCATGCTTCTTATATGTTGAAACCTATTTTACCAAAGGTTCTCCTTTTGGAAAATATAGCAGTCTTAGCCAAATAACTCTTACCAAACGAGCCTGGAGTCTCATTCCAAAATAATACGGAGTAAATAAAATGAAAGGCGTTAATTTGGCAGAACTCTGGTTTTCCAAGTTTTGAACACATAACAATTACTCAGCCATCCCACTGTTAAGTTCATGGTTTGACTTTTTGAGTCAAACTACATTAACTTTGACCATTAACTATTCAAAAATCATACATAGCATTTGTATGACTGTGTAACATGAAAATAATTTTGAATGCTTTATTTTGAAGTATGGTATTCAAATATTTATTTATTAATTATGCAGTGTTGTACATTTTATAAGTTTATAATCTTGAATATAAGCAGTAAAATGGTTGATACTTGATAGTAAAGACTTAAAATACAAACCGTGAACTTAATTACGGGACAGAGGGAATATCATATACCCATCAACTGCCTTACTCCCCAACTCAACATTTAAGAGATAGCTACAAATAAGAGCAAAACATGAGTAAAGGACTAATTTATTTAGTCCTAATGAAAGAATGTAGTCCTATTTAGGGAATTTTCTCTCAACATTAATAAATCATAAGCCATAAACCAAGGGTTTCCTTTCACAGATAAAAAAAAATAATAGAAGGAAGACACAGAGACACATAGTAAAACTCACATCTGAAGGCTTTGAACCTGATGGATCTCCATGGATTAACCATTGGGTTTCGTTCATCATTACTACTTCTCCTCTACTCCTATTTTCATTAGTCAGCAAATGAGATGTTTTATTGTATTTTCATTAGTTAACCATTGAGATGTTTTAAGAATGGAATGAATGCACATACCCAGAATACAAGGAAATTGAATGAGGAAAAGCAGCAAGTGCTTGACAAGCCATTGTTGAGACACGGTGCTGAATATGAACATCCCTGCACAAATGAGCCAACCCCTGCTCCATTCTATCTTCTTCCTTGACATTGCCAAGAATCCCATATGCACCTGAACAGCAACACCCCACCAGCTCAATGAACCTAAAACTCACAAAGGCAAATTATCAAACACCATGAGTACAAACCTAGTATTTCATCTTTTTCGGCTAAAAAGCATTGGAATTTAGACATGTACCTTGAAGGGTCACTGCCCAATTTCCAAACAACACAGTAATCCCAAGTCTTGGATTCTACAAGTGGCCTTAACCATTGGAGTGAGATCTCCGGAGCTTCCATGTGAGTGTTCTCAGACGTCAATGGCGTCCAAGTTTTGAACAGTGATGACTGCTGGCTGCTGAGAAACCTCTGCAAGTGCAACTGCCTTTGTATAATAAAAAGGGTCCAGTGATTCCACCATTCATGAGGACAGGAAACACATACGGACAACAGTTGTAACTGATTTTTCTCAAAAGGTGATCGTTTATATCAGCTGGAAAATCTTTGTCAGAAGCATCTTGTACTCTGTGTCTGGCTCCGTCTCTATAAAAAAGAAGAAGCCTGCAACCGCTAATGGAAGGTGTTAAATACAACTTTGATCATAATATGGCATACAATGCAGTTGACACCAATTGAAAATATGCATACATATTTACTTATAGTAAAGCATAAATAAATTACAAAATCTCAAAACGTTTCAAATTTTATTTTGCAATGGGAAATTATGCTAAATATGATTAAAAACGTTTGTATATTTAGAAGTAGATCTATCATATTTTTATTCTCAAAATAGGACTAACTAGTGTCATGTTTTGACGGCACGTGACTTTAAGTGTGATTGTATATTCCAAACTTAGTAGTAATTACTCATAGTTTGAGAATAAAAACATGACAATTCTACTCATATTTTATGCATATTTTACACTTTTAGAATTTTATCATTTTAGAATTTTCAAACTTTAAAATTTTCAAACTTTTTTACTCATATTCCACATTTAGTGGAATCCATGTTAGTCTGGTCTGGTCTGGTCTGATCTGGTCTGGTCTGGGACTGAAAACAGTCAAAAAGAAAACATCATAAAGTGTGTAATACAACTTGGTCGTATACATTACCTAGATGTTTTTCTTTTAGACTGAAATTTGCTGGTCTGGTCTAATCTGGTCTGGTCTGAACTGGTCAGGTAAACGTTTGGTCTCTGTTTATTTATAACTACGCCAGTCAGGTCTGATTTGGTCTGGTCTCATCTGATTTGGGACTAAAAACATCCATAGCAACTAGTATACACTTCACTTTTTTGTAAAAATGTTTGTCACTACGTTTGTCCCATACATAGATATATCTAGATTTATTTATTTAAGGATAGTATCGACCTAAACAATTAAAAATCACACATTTAAATTTTCCCAATCTTTATGCAGAGTTTGTTTCAAAATAAAGATCTTTATGCAGATTTCGTATTTACATGTAATAATTTTTAGAAGCTGCGGGTGAGAATTGACTTTCGATTAGGCAACTTAGCTTAAATTTGGTTTCTTCCTAATTAATTCCAAAACTACACACATCTATATATTAATCAAAATTCAGAACGCATATAACCAAAGTAAACCAAGCTCACAAAGTAAAATTATTTTGCCTCCATTCTACTAGTTTAAGACCAAAACGAACCAGAAAATTTTGAGAAGAATGTCGTCTCTACCGCTCCAACCCCTATACTATCCATATGACAATGTCCCAATTCTTCCAAGTGACAGCAATTATACTGTCCCATCTCTATCATCGGCGTCGCCGCCGTCGGGTTGGTCGTTTTCTAACGTCGGGTCGTTCCGGAAGGCGTATTTGGTGGTGGGGGTGATCTTGGTTTTGAGCTTTTTGTCCTGCATTGCCAATAGGATGTGCACTAAAAGAAGCATCACTCTTGTCAATAATGAAGGAATGAACAACTTGGAGTTGGGGAAAGATGAAGCGGTCGACCATCAACCTACCTCAATCCATGCAGTCTAATACGGAATAACTAATAATGTTATGGCGGGGTTGACAAGAGGAGCTCGTTTATTTGATTCATCATATTTAATTTCTTATAATTATTTAAATCTTATTGGCATTATTTAAGTAATATTGGCATTACTATAATTGCTATGTGATAGTAAACGAAGACAAGATTATTTGAGTATAAATGTTTGTCCTTCATCGGCTAAATTTAAACAAAAAATTAGCATCTTATAAGACAGGGGCGTAGCCAGGACACTGGGCTAGACTGGGCCGGTACAAAGAATATTATTGGAAAAAAATTTACATGAAATTTTTTACACTAAAAATATTGACATTTTTCAAATTTGGGGTGGGCCAGGGCCTAGCCTGGGCACCCCCTAGCTCCGCCCCTGTTATAAGATATGGATTACACCACTAATATGGATGCAATTCTATGTAAATATGGTCCAGTTGTGGTCTTCAAATTATTCAGCTTGTTTTAGGCCGAATGAGTGTGTTAATAGAGCAGCATAAGATAATCGACCTTTTTAGTAGGCAAATTTTGAAAATCTAAATCGACTATGTTTTCTTACATGTAATACTATCAATTGGTGTGAAAGATTTTTTGTTTTTGTGGAAATTTATAAAAAAACTAATTGCCCAATTACCATGTAAGAAAACACTAATTTTCTTATCATCCTTGTTAGTCCATTTTTAACCAAATACGAAATTTTTGATTTCGTGCGCTGAATTACTTTAAATAAAAATTAGTCGGATTTAAGTTACTTTTCTGGCTAGATTGGCTCTAGTTACTGTGAAAGATTATTTTATTTATTGTTCATACACACACACAAGTATATATGCAGAGAATAGTTCATGTCCGGATTTCCGGACGGAAACCGCCGTCCGGACGGCGGCGTTTGGCCGCCTTCCCAGTGGAATTTTTTGATGAAATTTTTCTGGCATGTTCTCCATCAAGTCTAGTTTATCCACACTCAAAAATCATTTGTGTGTGGAAGATAACTGCGTTTTATATGTATATTTTGGGCGCAGTTATCTTCTAAAAATCATTTGACAACCTTTCCGATTAAGTTTTTAGCTGAATTTTGTGTGTGGATAAACTAGACTTGATGAAGAACATGCCATAAAAACTTCATTAAAAAAATTCTTCTGGAAAGGGCCCCAAAAGTCGCCGTCCAGACGGCGGTTCAGGTCAGGAATTCCTGACCCGAAGAGTACTCTATGTATATATATATTATTAATAAAATATATTTTAGTTTTTTTCGTAAATCAGTCGAATCAGTCAATCCAATTAGTTACGCCATAACTTCATAAATTTCAAAAGAATCAATTATTTCATTGCTACTAAACACGGTCTCAATTTGGATCTTGAGTTCTTATTTCGGTGTTCTTTTGGATCACAAATGTTTGGGTTGTGTGTTTTCGTCATATTATTTCAAGATGGACGACCAGAAATGTATGTCTTGACGGTCCTCATCAAGTGGTTTTGAAACAATTTCAAGTCAAGCGTTAATTTCCAGCTTTTGTAGTTCAAATCCAAATGTTGATACCATTTTTTTACGGATTTTATTGCTTACTAGATTCTCACCCGTGCGATGCACGGATGAAAATTTATCAATGTGTAGTTAAGAACTATTATAAAAACGCATAAATATTTAAATTCAGAATAAAGTGATAAGTAATACCATAATAAGTGAAACCCCAAAAAAATACGGTCGTCTCCTAGGCACGTCCAAGGATTTTTCCGGCGGCGGCCTATCTAAGCCGTGGGTTCGGCCGATCTCTTCCCGGTAGGCAACTTATCTCATATATCTTCTCAGGGTATTGAGTTTTGTTGTCATCGCGGGGTTTGTTTGGTTCGTTTTTGTTTTCTTTCTTACTTGCAATTGCGGTGAATCCGGATTCTGTCTCGACGAAACTTTTGGTTTTTCTGCTTTACAAGAGCATCGAACAAGCGAGGAAGCTTTCAGGAGGGTTCGAGGCTTCTGATTTTGGCAGAGGACGGGTTTAGCAAGGGGAAGATGGGGTGCTGCAGAATGTTGAAGACGAAGTCGAGCTGTTATTCTTCGGCAATTTGGGAACGAGCTTTGACGAAACAGATGGCTATTGGTGATAGCATGGAATTTTTGGTGGCCGACATCATGCTGTCGGACTGGAAAATCAAATTTTAGGGGTTCATTGGTGGCCTATGTGTGAAAGAAGACGAAGGGATGTTAATCCGCCCACCTCCAGAACCGCCGCCTTGGAGGAATTCTGCGACTAGGGTTTGGACGAGTATTTCTATTTCTACTGAGTCGATTGTGTTTTGTTTTTATTTTATTTCGATTGTATTTTGTTGCTTATTTATTTTATGCTGTAAGACTTTTACACTTGGATTGGGGGATGAGAGGCCTGCGGTAATATGCCCAATTTAGGATTAGCGAGTTATATTGCTTTGTCAAATGTGATTAACTCAGAGTCTCGTCCACGGGCGGATGATTATTGTGGTCCTTTTGTTATTTCAACCCCTTCCTGAGTGCTTTTTATGAATGAATGCATGTTCGATGATCAAAAAAAGAAAGTAATACCATAAGTGTTCATAATTAAAGAAAGATTAAACATCATCAAAGAAGGAAAAAATGTAAATATTATAAAAGATATGCTACGTATAACATTTGAAAAGGTACAAAATGATAAGTAAAATAATAAGTATTCATAGTGAAACTATAAATTCTGAAACAATTCTTTGTAAACAGCATTAGTGGTATGATCGATCAATTGATCATCCTCGTCACAGATCAATGTAATACTACGTATACTAATATACTATATTTTTTATATTTCACAGATCAATGTAATAGTACGTATACTAATGTACTACAACGTAATTTTATATTACTAATATTAATATAAATTACGTACATATATTTTACGGAGCAGTAAAATATATGTTAAGTTTTAAGTATTCTACAACAGGTGTGCACAAATACAACACAAACGTATCCCAATAGAACATTGTAATCCTAATCAGAATGATAAGGTTTTAGGACATCTATATCTAAATAAAACACGAGATATTACCTGAAATAGGACTAAAAAGTTTGAAAATTCCAAAATAGGACTGCCATGTTTTTATTCCCAAAATAGGACTAATTACTGTCATGTTTTGGCAGTACCAGACTTCAAACATGACAGTATTTTCCAAACTTGACAGTAATTACTCCTATTTTGGGAATAAAAAACATGACAGTCCTATTTTAGAATTATCAAACTGTTTTAGTCCTATTTCGGGAACTTTCCAACACACATAACCAAATAAGATTCTAGCAAATATGAGTGTCATAATTATCAACCTTCCCAGAAACACTCAACACATGAGCTAATCAGTTTAAGTTTTAAGTTTTCTAAAACAGGTGTGCACAATATGGTTAGACAGTTTCAACAAAAAAAATAGGACATCAATTCTGCTCTTCAAATCATGGTGTCTTATTCCGGCTCGATCTTGATTGTTATCTTCAACGTTCTGTTGGCAAAAAACTGATCCAGTAGGTTCCTCTTAATCGTGTCACTCCCTTCCATTTCACCACCTTTACGTTTTGGTTGTGTAGGTGTAATACCATCTTCACCATCTTGTGCATTTTACCTATATTAGAGAACTACTATATACTCCCTCTGTCCTTTTTTAAATGTCCCGTTTTACCATATTGGGATGTCCCTATTTAATTGCCCCATACCTTATTTGGTAAACTTTGTGTGGCTCAAAATCATTCTTACTTTATTCTTACTTTATCAATTAATATCAACCACACAAACTCACTTTTCTTAAAAACCCGTGCCACCATCTCCCGTCCCATTTAAAAGGGGACGGAGGGAGTAGTCTATATAGAAAAGCCCATTCCTAAATACCATGTTTTTTACCCTTTCCCCAAAGAAAATCTGAAGAAATTAAGCAAAGACTGGTACCAGGAGGGTTGGGGCTCGAGAAGAATATCATAGGAAGCAACTAAGCTCGGAAATCAGAATCTTCAGTCGTCCCATGCTGCCTCTTCCGACTTTGAGTCTCGCACTCTCATTGGTCTGAGAAGTCGGGGGATTTGGGGTTCAGTTTTAAAGCGTGGCTCTATGCCATGGGAGTATCCAGTATCTTCTCCGTTCATGCCAGTTTCAATTCATCTTTATTACTACTATATTTAAAAAAGAATTTTACTATTTCTGATAGCCTCCCAACTGGCTTCAAACCCAGAAGCGGTTCATGGCAGGCGTTGTGAGGTCCAGTGAATTGGATTGCCAACCGATTCCAGATGAAATTAGCGATATCCTACATCAAACTATGGAGTAGTTGGCTATCCAGAGTATATTTTTTGTTTTTTTCGATGACGGAAAACCAAACAGTCAAGAGAATGGACCTTTTCCTCAGGACAGTCTCGGAACATTAACAGAGCTCTAGATTCAGTTATATATGTTTCTTGTTGTTCTCCGATAATTTACCAGCTCTGCTTGTATGTTAATCGCCATCATCGTTTGTTACACTGCTGGCTAACACAATCGCATAGATGGAAGTCCACTTGCAGCCTCGCAGGAAACGGGACACTTGCTGGGTTCAACACTGAAAGTAAATAAATAAAAAAAATCAAAACCATCTCATTTGTATCAAGGCATTTCAACCTTAACAAATCACAACTTTTTGGTAGCATTACACAATAGTACAAATAATTATGAATCTGACTTACTTTGTAGATCTCTTGAGCTAGCAATCTTGATGAATTTTCTGCAAATAATTATAAGAAGATCCCAACACATCATCAATCAATATTTTTAATTGATAAAATTTCACTCAAAAGATTATGTCTAAAATCTTGTAAATGACACCTATACCAGAAAGAAGGTGATTGCAGTTAAGTGATTATTTCTTACGTATTTCAATTCAAAAATACAAATGGCACCACTGTTCCTGGACATATGTATCGTTTTTACTGTTAAGTCATACTAAATCTGAATAGCTTTAACAGTTTTTATAAGTATTCATTTTCTCTCACATAACAAAGGCTTACATCTTACTATCCAAATAGGCTTAGCCAACATGATAGAGTTATCTAGGTTTTCAGAAGGATTAAAGAAAATTATCAAGAACACAACTGTAGATTTTATTGAAGAAGGAACCAGAACTGTAATCGTAAGAAGAAGTAAAGGCCGAAGCCCCCGAATTGAGCCGAAGCCCCCCAAAGAAAGAGATAGCTCTCGATCTTCCCATGTCCCAAAGTCAAAGTCTAAAACGGCCTATCTACTCTTCCAAGCTATCTTCTATTTATACTAAGCTTATACACTTATTATTATTAATACTCTAATAGGCCCGGTCCCTTATTATTATTAATACTCTAATAGGCCCGGTCCCTATCAATACTTCCCCCCTAAACATCCACCTTGCCCTCAAGGTGGGTTATAGGACACAACCACAATCTTCTTCTTTTCTTTCATCCTAGCACCTCTCCCTTTCCAATACTGGAGTGATTGTTGGACTTTTAGTTTTGCTGCTTTCATCTTCTTCCACATACATTTCACAGCATGATTACCACTTGGGTGGCTTTGATCAAGCAGAAACTGGGCTTTACTAATCACCAATTGCTCAATCTTCCATTTGCTAAGATCTCTTGCCTCAGGAAATAACTCCAGCCCTTGGGTTTCAGTGGCTTCACTCCTTGAATTCGTAACCTCTGTCAAGTCTTTCTTGGGACTGTATGGTCTGATGTTGGGTAGGTTGGTTCTCTGTAAGATATTTCTTGGGTGATCACAGGTTCCTTCATGAAGCAGACCTCGAGTTGATTTACAGACTTCAGAAAATTCTCCCACCACCATATTCCCGGTCTCATCCTGAGCTGTTATGTGCTGTTGTTCTTGCTCTATACTTTCACAGTATTGCATGTATCCACCCCTTGTATTCTGTAAAATGTTAGTGATAGTTTCCAAGGGAACATCCATCTGATTTAGGGTAGTATCTCCTTGGATAGTATAAGGATGTTTTTACTTGGACTGTAATTTGCACCAGACCAGACCAGTCCAGACCAGACCAGACCAGTTCAGACCAGACCAGACCAGACTTGGATAGTTATAAAAATACAAAGAAACCAGACCTTACCAGACCTTACCAGACCAGACTAGTTCAGACCAGACCAAACCAGATCAGACCAGACCAGACCAGCAAATTACAGTCCAAGTAAAAACATCGTAATTCTGCTCTTGTTGTCTCCATTTTAAAGTCTGTTTCTGGAAGTTGACTTCCATATCTCCTAGGCAAGGTAGTCAAAAGTGAGCGCCTGGGCGCTTAAGCGCACCAGGCGCAGCGCACATCAGCCCTATCAACTTAACAAAGGCCAGGCGCAGCTATCAGTGTAAGGCGCAGGTTATGCGCAGAAGCGCAGGAGCGTTGAAGCACTAAAAAGCGCTCGCTAAACTCGCCTGGGGTGGAAACACACGTTTAAGCCTAATATGTTAGTTTCATACTTTTTTAAATCAGAAGCCCATATCTTTAATATGATAAAGCCCAATTAAGTATCTAAAAAAAGGTCAAAACGATGTAAATTTGCGTTAATCAACACAAGCCACAGTTTTGGTGTTTGCTATCTCCACAACAACCGCAGAAGCTGGCAGGCAACACAATCAATGACAATAAGTTTTCTTATCCTTCACTGTTCCATTTTCTTTGTTTTTTCTTTTTTCAACATCTACTTCTTAAAAACTCGATACAAATCAAACATATGTATTTGTAAACTACTCCGAACCAGTTTAGTGGTCTATCATGTGTGACTCTCTTCATTGTTCCATTTTGTAATCATTTAATTAGAAAATATTTTCCATTCTTCTAATTATTGTTCCATTTATCAACATTTTGTTATTTGATATTTTTTATTCATGTACACTTCATATAATCTAATCATTGGATAGTTTCATGAAGTATACTGTATGAATAATATTTGCCTTGTACACATTTACAGGACACGAAATGTCGAACTTCAGCCACAGGTCCTGAAGCTGCCAAATCAGGAAAAACAGACCCAGCTCTTGAAAGCAAAATTTTACTTGACTTATAAAAATGATGCAAATGCATGAAGTTATTTTGGTGAATCATGACTTTATTTTTTAGAAACATGACTTTTTAATGTTGTTGGTTCAATATGATGTCATATACATCATGTTTGATACTTGCATAATAGTATATGTGATATTTTATAAGTAATGCGCCTTACATGAGTCAGGCGAGCGCTTTTTTGCGCCTTGCGCCTCAGGCGATGGAAGTACTCCGTCGCCTTGAGTGCGCCTCACGATTTAACTACCTTGCTCCTAGGCCAGTTAACCATTTTAGCCCAAGTACTACCTCCGTATCTCCCAACTCTAACATGTAGTAAGTTTGTTGTATTTCCACTCCTGCCAAGATTGGGTATACACTCTCCATTCCCAATCTGCACTTCATGTCCCTGAATATGACTGTAAGGTAGTTTCCATTTCTCCACCAATCTGTGTGATATAAAGTTATGGGTGGCCCCACTATCAATGAGGATATCCACAAATACTTCACCTCCTGACCATTTCATTTTCCCTTTCACCCTAAATATTTCCGCAGAAGATATGCCCTCTTTATTAAGGGCTGAGAGCTGCATGGTTTTTAGATTCATTGGTGAGGTCTTTTCATCTTCTGAGTCCCCTGATTCTACTTCAGTTTCAACTTCACCTTCAAATTTTTCCATTATTTTTATCTTATAATTTTTCATCTTGCACACATGTCCCCTACCCCAATTCTCTCAGCATTTGAAACATAGTCCTTTCTTACTTCTTTCAAACAACTCTTCTTGTGATAACCTAGGGCCATTTCTTTTTTGGTTGGGATCCATCACCTCAGGGTTGCTTTTGTTGTCAATTGTCACCTTTCCCACATTAACAGGCTGGTCAGGACGACTCTTCCATCTGCTTCCTTCACTCCAACTTTGGCCTGAATTCTGAACATTGTACTTGCTTTGTCCTTTCTTCTTTCCTTCCTCTCTATTTTTCATAAACAAAACTTCAGTGTTCTTGTTCTCAATGAGGGATACCTTGTCCATAACTTCTGCCAAAGTTCGTGCGGAATGTAACTTCAGCTCGTATATCACGCTTTAAACCTTTCAGAAAAACTCCTTTCAACACCTCTTCAGTCAAATGGCCATGCGAGGCTATAGCTGTCTCAAACTGATCTCTGTACTCCTGGATAGTCCCTTTTTACTTTAAACTGAACAAGAGCCCCAACGGATCTTGAACCAGGTTAGGTTGAAATCTTCTTGTCAAAGCATGGGTAAAGGATTCCCAATTCTGATGATGTGCTTGTCCCTAGCTCCCACGACTGGAACCAGCTAAGAGATTGGTCTTCCATGGCAATGACTGTCATGTCAATTTTATCTTCGTCCTCCGTGTTATTCAATCTGAAGTAGTGATTCATCCTCAACAACCAACCACAAACATCCTCTCCGTTAAAGATTGGCATATTATTTTCCGTCCTGTGTGATGGTGATGTCGTTGATTCCGATGAGGATCGCGATTATGTCGCGATGTGGAATGGCTAGACGAACTGTCTGAACCTTCTGAACTGTCGCCCTTCGCATGTTTGTGTCGCGACTGATGCTGTTGAGAAGTGCGATGTGATGCCGATGTGCTATGCAACGCAGATGATCGATGCGACGCAGATGAGCGATGCGACCTACTTCTCGATCGATCTTGATCTTTCACATCCAATCTGGCCATAATCGCTGCCACCATATCCGTAGTCTGTTGCTGATTCCGATCCATCTTCTCCTCCAGTCGGTTTTGGTTATCTTCCAACTCAGTCATCCGTAAATCCATTTTCGTCCGTGTCTAGACCATCCACAGAATCTACCGTCTCTGATACCAATGATAGAGTTATCTAGGTTTTCAGAAGGATTAAAGAAAATTATCAAGAACACAACTGTAGATTTTATTGAAGAAGGAACAGAACTGTAATTGTAACAAGAAGTAAAGGCTGAAGCCCTCGAATTGAGCCGAAGCCCCCCAAAGAAAGAGATAGCTCTCGATATTCCCAAGTCCCAAAGTCAAAGTCTAAAACAGCCTATCTACTCTTCCAAGCTATCTTCTATTTATACTTTATACACTTATTATTATTATTACTCTAATAGGCCCGGTCCCTTATTATTATTAATAATCTAATAGGCCCGGTCCCTATCACAACATCAATTGCTACATAAAAATTGTTAGGTGTTATGTACATGAATGAAGTATATCTAGCTCAGTATAAGGTTTAACATCACTATGATATCCAAACCAAGTAATAACTATCACGTTCAAATGTTTGCTCACCTTTTTCATCCTGCTGCAACTTCATGACCTCCATCTTCATGATAGAAATATAAAATTCATCAAAAAAACAACATAAAATAAAATAAAAGGAAAGAATAGAACAACCACAATCTTTATTTACAGAACATAAATAAAAATCACAGATTTTATGATAAATCACACCAAGATGTTGAAATATAATACTCTTAGCGCTGCAGATCCAACGCTTATTATATTGTTGCGCACAGAAAAGCCTTTAAAGCAAAAAATAATCAATTTCAAATGAAGAGATAATTTCGCACTCACTTGTACACTGATTCTAGAAGCCCCAAACAAAGAGAAACATCATCCTTCTTCTTCTTTGTGAAGTCCGCAAGCCGCAGAGATGCCATTAGTCTGTCATTCGCCTTGTCGCTTTCACATAAGATAATCTTATGTAATCTCCAAATCAACTAATTTTTCTTCAACCATGATCTTAATTTACCAAGAATTTCTATGAGACATACACTCAATTTCCAAATCTCTAACTTAAATGCAGTCACGACTCATGATCACATACACTCTACATGCACACACTATTAAAAAAAGTGTTTTACGATAGTATATTATTACATATACTACTATCGTATACTCTTATTACTCCGTATATATTACTACGTATAGAATGGTATTTTTAGAGAATATTACCCGAAATAGGAC